TCTTTGTATAGTACAAAATCGCTAAAGACAAGAATCACATTGGCATCACAATTTCTACAGTATGTAGAAATTGTGATATGTATGGTATGTATGCAATAACGGCTATAGCTGGGTTAAAACATGTTCCACTTTTATGTTATAAATAAACTTTTATGTTTCCAAACGAATCACTAAAGTAATGCCATATAATAATTAGCTGTACGTAAGTTACGAAACTTGTTATTAGGAATTAAAACTTGTTATTACTAAAAGAATTCGAACATAACCATGACTATTATAAAGTTCATTAAAACACAATTTTGTATCTTGAAAGCTCTGTTGATGTGTTTTGGAATCATTAGTAATTTATTTGCAACTATTTTAACACGGACTAGTAAATAACTATAGTAAGTTATTTTAGGTACCTTCTACTCGGTGATCTCAAAAAGCCGATGTGAATAAGATTAGGTGCGAGTCTTAAAATTCGGCAAAGCCAATATTAATACAATTTAAAAAAAATACTTTATAGACAAAGTTATTGTCTTCCTTTCGAGATTAATGCACTACAATAGATGATTGTTTTATAGTTCATCTTTCTTCGTTTTTAAGTCAGTGTGTGTTGCGTTTAATTGATCTTCGGAATCAAATCACACACGTATTAGCCGGTAAAATACGCGGCAAATGTCCGAATACGAGTCGAAATGGCGTAAGTCTGCGTTCCAAATTCAAAAATAAATTCGCAACATGCGCGCGCCGTCGGATCGTTGTGTTTTAAAATCGATAACATACGCGCACACTGCGTCACGGGAACTGCATCTAAATTAAATTTCTTTTTCTCTCGATTTCAACGTCCATTTTTAAATTGTTTTTTTTTTTTTATTTCTACACTCCGTGAATTAAGATTTCAAAATTAACTTAAAAAAATGAAAGAATAAAAATAGGATTGCAAAGATTAAAAAGGTATTATTTTTGCTTAATTGTTATTTTAATATTTTAATGGTAAGTTTTCTTTTTTTTTTTTTAATTATTGTATAGGACTACTGTCACGGAATGAATTCCTGTCAAACAACAAAACAAATAGGTTTTTTATCTGCAAACGAAATCAGATTGCAACAGTTCAAGAATGCCCGAGACCTACGCGGAGTCAAACGCAAAAGCTGGCGTGGCAGGGAAGTACTTTTGTATGTAAATCGAATGCGTAGGTTCAAGCCTGACTGTCTGTGTGAGCAGCGAACCTAGTTTCCGATAGGAGCGGACTGTGGCTTTTAAAATTGCCCATGTCTTAAGTTGCTTTATCTGTTTGAAGCCGAATATAGAACGCCGTTGACAGCCCCTTGAAAAGCTCAACCAATTGCGAATTATGTCACTTTCTGGACGTTTAAACGAGACCACAGATAAAAAATGATAGGATCTCTTTTTATTTTATGTCATCTGTGTTGTTTTATCTTCACAGTCTAATTGCATGTTTATTTAAATACGTATAAGACACTATCAGAATGAATTGGAAAAAATCGACTTGGAAAATATTTTTCAATTCTATACAACTGCAGATAGCTTTATTATGAAAATTATTCCAAAATAATATTTAATTTTCCACAAGTATGATGTCAATCTATTCTCAATGAATTTTAACATATAGCATTGGAGTAATTACATATTAAAATCGTCCCTTTCGACGCAGAATAGAATGCAAATTAACACACGATAAATGTTCTCAGAATCCGCTAAGATAGCATCCTTTTGCCGTTGAACATCGTCGAACTGTGCTAAGGCAAACGCCTTTCCCTTCCCTACATTTATTCATAGAGAAATAACAAAAATAGCCATACAACAGCGTCCAATTCACATTGAACCGCACCGCCCCCCTCTTGTAGTGCACTCTTCGAGCGCTGAAGGGGGATTGTGCAAAAGGCGGCGGATCACATTCCGATGGTCGGCTTAGCGCGTAGGTTGTATAGGTTGAAAAATGGTTGTCTGGCCACAATAGTATAAGGAACGGTGAACCCGGAAGAAATATTTTCTATGGGCAAGATTTAATCTGTTGTCCAGTCGGATCTCGGAGATAATGCACATGCCATAGGTTTTTATTTAATGCGAATGGATTCCACATAATATATAGCGGGTAGAAGTAATTATAATCTATTTAAAATTATTTAGATGATATTTTAAGGTTCTTTGGAGAGAAATATAAAACGGTTTTTAATCTGTAATAATCTGATAAGAATTATCAACAGCTATTCAAATTTTAATGAGCTTGGTTAGTTTATACATCCAATCAAATATATTCAGTAAAGTTTTATTTGAAACTTAACTTTTCAAATTATAAAATTATGTTTGTGCTATAAAACAAATCTGATTATTTTTTATTTGTGTTTAGTCTTTTAGTGTAATCAAAAGGAAGCACGCGGAAGTTTAATTAATTTTAAGATATTTTTCTTTTACCTATAAATATTTACTTTGGCTTAAAAACAGCTCGTCGTAAAAGCTTAATTTCACTCAATTGTAAAATAAATTTTGGAGCGTAAATCGCATGAGCGCATGATGGTCTTTCGATCACTAATGAAATACAGATAATAAATGCCAGTATATCGCGCGCACTTTTAACCAACTGGCCCAATAAACCCCAAGCGATATTTAGTATCAATAAATATGGCCGGGGTACCGTTATTGTCCGATTAGCTATAGTAGACGCGGATGGTAATATTTCTATGCGATTCGCCATGTCAATGACGGGGATGGCAATATATCTATCTGGTTGCGTTTAGATAGGGTCGCCATTTGCATTCGGCTCTTACGGATGCTTACGCGATTGTTTGAATAATATAGAATACATCTAAATCCTCTTCCAATTCTCTTTCTCAAAACGGACACATATGTTGTCTATAATTTCATAAAGGAAACTTGGACATTGAAAAATCTTCGACAAGAACGTTTAAAAGTTTTGAAAAGCACATTTCGAATATTATTTTAATATCATTATATTACGTTCATTATTTTAATTTTTTGCTATCGATCAACATAATATGGCTGTAAATACAAGTTATTTTTCGTTCTTATTAGATTCTCATAAGATTACTATTTAAAAAAAACTCGCAAAACATTAAAATTTCTACTAAGCGAGAAACAAATTATGTAAATATACATTTATCCAAATAGTTAAGCCTCATCAAACTTTGTTCAGAATTTACAATATAAAACAATGTTACAATATTTCACAATCAATTCCTTTTAACCTTACACGTACTACCGCCATTATAAAAGATTTCGCAAATGGTAACCCTAATCTAGGAAATAATTCCACAATATCTTTCCTTACAAACGCACGCGTATGTACGCATTCTTCGCGCACATGCAAATCCGCGCACACGCTCACGCGGAAGGACTACGCAGGAAAGATAGCGTGTACAATACAGCGCCGCTAGTGTGCGACCGGCCCGTCTGTGTGCGTGGGTGCATTGACCTATGCATTTGCTTGCAGTACAGGCTAAAAGTATGCGTTCACTTTATTATGGTTTTATTTTTAAAGTGTTAGGCCGGTCAACGCTTTCTTTCGCGTTGGGTTAGGTCGCGGATTGTTTATTTGGCGTCGTTTAACCACACGCGGTCACCGGGCTTCTGGAACGATCGAAATTCGAATGGCATTCCCTGTTTTCTTTTTTGAAATTTTGGGAACATTACGGCGACTGTTATCAGATTATACCATCATACCTAGCTATAAGACCGCCTTATTGTTTATATCTCTTAAGTTTATAGTTCTGTAACATTTCCTTTTATGTTTTTTGGTGTTCAATAAAGTATTATATATACCTTTAATGCTTTAAACTTAGTCGACTTTTCAACTTATGTCGATTGTAGTATAATAGTAATAGATACTTCACCGTGTATTCGGATCATGATACAGAATGAGAATAAGCCTATCGAATAAATATCTAAAAGATGTTACCCGTTGATTAGGTCTTTTTGATGTAGCAATTACAAGAAGTTATTGCTAATACGGTAACAAACGCTATTCTTATATTTACACTGTAATCGCTTTCTTAATAAATTAACGACGTGAATTATGAATAATTATATTTTTACAAGCTTTTTAAAGTTTTTTTTTTTTTCACATAAGTTTAAAGAGGCAGATGACACGACGTTATTATTCCCTTTTATTAGTTTGACCTGAAGGTATGTCTTTTAATCAATTTAACGTAATTTCTCTACGTCGCTTTCACCGACTTGAAGATGACTCATTGATATTATGATAAATGTGTCCACGTATTGACCGATGACAATACAATAATTTGATAAACTTGGCCTGACTTGTTTCACTCTGAACGCACTTTTAATATATTATATTTCAATATTATATCAACGATATCTTAATAGCGTAGAGCGAAGAGATATAACTCGCCATTCAAATTACTGTATGATTTTCCCTCCCGTGCATTATTAAATTGTAAAAATAAAGTAACAGCCTTTATATGTCCCACTACTGGGAACAGGCCTCTTGTGTACAGAAGGTGTTTGGGCCTACTCAACCAAAGCGAACACACTGAGGAATGGCGGTGGATTTCACATATCTTCGATTGGTGCCTGCACCTAGGAACAAACTCAGGTTGCTAGAGTATATTGAATTGAAAACGAGTGCACGAACCGTTGAATATTTGGAATTTTAACTCGAGTACTAAGAAGTTAAGGAGTCATTACAGCTTAAAGACCTGAAGATCTAGTTCCAACCCAGGGCCGGATTTAGGGGAGGGCAACCGGGGCCAGCCCTAGGGCCCCCACCACGAGACTTCAGGAAAAACAACTCAAATTCAGACTAGCAAACAATTTTTCCTTTCATATTTTCTTTTTTGCGTTTTACTTTTACATGTAGTACAAACATGATTACATTAAATATTAACAGAAATCAATAGAAAATAATTTGGAGCCAAGGGCCTTCACTCCTTTGGTGCCACGAGGCCTTTAAACCTCTAAATCTGGCCCTGTTCCATCCGGTTAGCGAGAGCATCACCACCCGAAATCCTTTCCAGGCGAACGGCCGTACAAGTGCCACCTGCCCGACTGCGGCCGCGCCTTCATCCAGCTGTCGAACCTGCAGCAGCACCTGCGGAACCACGACGCCCAGGTGGAGAGGGCCAAAAACCGCCCCTTCCACTGCAACATCTGCGGCAAGGGTTTCGCCACTGAGAGCAGTCTACGCACTCACACGGCGAAGGTCAGTATTCTAAGAATGTTCCAGCATTGACAACACCCTTATTTCAATTCAATCCACCCATCTTCTTAAAACTGCTGAAAGAACATCTATATGCAGGTTTAAATCGATGTTGGAAGTTTCGATCACTTTTAAATCCTCTGGAAAAAGCGTTCTTAGCAACTTAAATAATGGGATAAGATGATGGTGGATTTTAGATACTTTTTGGCTAAACACCCAATACCACTCTTACTAAATAAGGGTCTAACTATCTTGTTACATTAAAGACAAATTTGTTTTCATCCACATGAACCTTCAATCACTTGTAATACATTTGTATCTTGGAAGTAAACTTGACTATTGCATGAGTTTACACGAACATCGCGTAATACACATTCGCGTAATTTAATCACCATAGCATTATGAAACTTTCTAAAAATTTACTCTCGCCGCGAATTGATTGACGACACCGTTAATTTACTCTTTGGCATATTATGTTTCAATAATTGTAATTCATTATGCTATGATCAAGGAGCTGAGCGAAATACGAAAATCGAAGACAATGCTAGCCGGAACAACGGCGGCAATATCTAATGTATGTTATATTTAATATTAACTAATCTCGATTTTGATTTTTTAAGCTTAAATATACACATCGAGTTCTATCGGATTATTCGAATGTTGAAGTTTCCTTTTATAAATTTTCATAACAAAAAAAGAACGATAACCGATTTTTCGCTGCAGCCCGAATTATTTTATGATGAATTTCCAAATTACAATTTACATTATACACAAATTAAATTATAATATCGAACGATGTGTCATTGACTGGAAAGAACGTTTCCTTATTATTTTGTTTAAAAAAAAAGCAAAACAAAATTCCCTTTGGCAAGTTCTATATTCAGTTTGAAGATTTTACATTAAGTTCCAAAATTCGAATTTCGAACGCCGCATTCGCTGTTACTGTTATTGTTTTATTTACATTGCGTTTCTCTTTTTTTCCTTTTTGTGTTTTATTACGAACCAGTGCTAATCTTTCCCCTGCTATGCCCGCATCGCCACCGGGTGCTGAACAGGAGCTTCAGCTGCACCTTGGTGTTTTGCAGCAACACGCGGCGCTCATGATCGGCGGCGCGACCGCAACGCCCTGCCCGATATGCCACAAGGTCGTATTCGGGGGCGAAGCGCTAGTCGAACACATGAAGAACACCCATAAGGACCCTAACGCGTCGGGTGTTGCCAGTAAGTGTCCCGACGGACATGCCCACGCAAAAGCAAAAAGCAACCTCATCTATTTCACATAGATAACGTTCCTTTTCAAGTTCAGCGGGCGACGAAGGCGTTTAGTCCTAAGCTAGACCTAAGTGGTCTCTTTTGTTGGCTGCGATTAAATTCGACTGTTGTTAATAATTTTACGAAAACTTTTTAAAATTGACGAAGGGCGAGGTCGTTACCGGCCGTTTATCGCGCTCCAACCGAAGAGATTTATTAGTCCGTAAGCCGCGCCGCTGGAAGTTTAGCGCTTAAAATGTTTTTGCGACGGAGACATTTGTAACGACCAAAGAATTGCTCCTAGTTCTCGCGGTAAAAGCTTCCAGCGGGCGCAAAGCCATAAGGGGTGTTGGTTTTACCGTATCGACGGTAAAATGAAAGAATAAAAACACAAATGTATCGTTTCCATGAACCTTAGATTATAAGCCGTTATTTATTAAGCGCGGAAACCATCCGAGGGAGCGTATTGTTCTAGCATTGGCGCAGTGGAGTGTTTTGCAAACATCCTACCCCACCGTCCCTAACGATGGATTCCTCGGATGGCGTTCCAAATATTGTCATAACACGCCTTAGTTTATCTTTAGGCTAATGTTTTCCACTTTACACAAACTATAACAGCCGGTGTTGCCGTCATCGAAGCAGTTGTTTACGTCGTGTTGCCGATTGATGTTCGTCGACGTAGCGTAGTTAGTCCGTAATAGTACAGGCCGGGACGGTGCATTACGCTGCCGTCACGCCCTTTTCGTCTAACATGACTAACCTGAGTTTTTTTTTTTCTCCCCCCCTCCCCCCTAACCCACTAACCCGCCCGTTCCTGGTGAAAATGGTAGGCCCACCCGCCACTTCACCGTACCCAGCGCAAGCTAAACCGGTCGATCCTTATATAGCGAAGCGGCGGACCGCGAACCACCCGTGCCCCGTCTGCGGGAAGCATTACGTGAACGAGGGCTCGCTGAGGAAGCACCTCGCCTGCCACCCGGAGACCCAGCTCACCAGCAGCCTGCGCATGTGGCCCTGCTCCGTATGCCAGGCGGTGTTCACGCACGAGAACGGTAAGCGCCCATTGTGTGTGACAGTTGCAGATGGCTGAAGTTAAGTGAGAACCAACGGCAGTCCACGTCTTGAAGTATATGATTAGAGCAATGCTACTGCGAAGAGTCGCCTTGATCACACCTGGAAACATCCGACAGAGTACGAGAGAAATGTGATGTCTGTAACACGGAGTATTATTTTGAATTAGGTGGAGATGTGATTAAGTACAATTTAAAGTTATAGCCATATTTTACTTGTAACATTTTTTTGGGAAGAAGATGGCAAGCGAGCTGAGTTCACCAGAGCTTGAGTGATAACCGCTGCCTATGGACATTTGCAACACCCAATGTAGGGTTCTAAATGCAATGCCAGCTTTCAAGAAAGTGGACTCGGCTACGTCACTCACCGGACTGCTCTGTGGACCTACCACTAATCCTACTTTCTCCGAATTTGAAATCGGATAGAAAAACATCATCAAAGAAAAAAAAAACAAGTCTTTGTTATAAAAGTAAATCATCACTTAATAAAGTAAATCAAGATGAAAAAAAAAACTGTTTACATTCAACCTCGATCGATCCATTCCATTTTGCTTTTTCTTATACTATACTTTGACGCAAAAACATCATTATTATTTAAAAGAATGACTCTCAAGAGTTATTTCAAATGTACAACAATTGTATTTTTGGGACGTAGGAAATAACACCTGCCGCGTGGGCGTCTTTAGGGTAACTGCCAAATCTGATGGAATTCAGTTTCGCGTAAAACACTTAGAACTTTCTATTGATAACCGTCTTATTCCTCTTAGAAATTTGAAATATCATCAATCGACTGTTGAAATAGTAGTGTTATAATAGGGAGATGCTTGAGAATGAATCGAAACAATTGCTAATTAACGATTGCTAACCAAAGATTTATGTTAAATTTTGCACGTTGGACGTGAAGTTATATTAAATTCCATAAAATCCGTAAAAAGATTTTCATTTAATCTGTAACTTTGACGCAAATAAAACAAAAAAAGAATAATTATTTAAACTGAGAAAAGAATTTCGATTCAATCAGAACGAAAGACATTCTTTGTACTTTCGTTGTAAGCGTATCTATTTTATTTAATAACGCGTTAAACCCTTTAATGTGTTTGAAAAAGTATTGGCTGAATGAAACTCATTACGGATCAGAAGCTTTGTTACTGCCTACTTACACAAGTCTCGAAATTACGCTCAATATAATTATAACCTCGTATGAAAAAAAAACGCTTTACACCCGCCGTGCAGCAGCGAGCTGTCTTTGAGAAGCTTCACGTACACCCAATTGTAAAACTGTGAGTTGTTGATTACCCGGTTCCAGTAAAATTTCTATAGAGCTACCGTTTGGTCTGCGAAACAAACCGCCGTGGTTACTCAAACGGGAAACAGTCAAGCGAGACGTCGCTACCATTTGCTTTACCACGCGACTTCAATCACCACCGCCCGTTGCAGGGCTGCTCTCGCACATGGAGCACATGCGGATGGAGCCCAAGCACCAGTTCGCCGCCCAATACGTCCTCTCACGGGCGGCGGCCGAGAGGCGGGAGAGGGACATACTGGCGGCGGTCTCCGCCTCCGCTGGGGGCTCGGGGCTGTTGAACCTGGCGCCCCCCTCGCCCGCCCACTCGGACTCCTCGTCGAACGGCCGCCTATCGTCCTCCGCCGGGTCGGACGCCGGCGCCGGCAAGCTGGGCGACCTGCTGCGCAACAACAACGGCCAGTTCGGCGACGAGAGGGTCGCCGCGATAGCGGCCGCCGCGGCCAACATGATCGCGCAGCCGGGCGAAGGGGCGAACGCCGTGCAGGTCAGTGGCCCGATAAATGGGAGGAGTGAGTGAGACAGGGTGACATCGAGCAGAGGTCTTGTAGTTGTCTTATGGCGGTCACCGGTAGATGATCACATCTGCAGGGACAGACAGCGGAGTTGTGCGTTCATTAACCGAAACGCCAAAGGATTAGAACTGTATTTTACTTTCTGTGTATGATACACCAAACTGAGCTACCCCATTTATGGCTCTGTAACATTGAAATGTTTCTTCGTTTGCTATCCTATGTAATCGAATCGTGTATACACACCATAAGACCAAACAAAGTTAGTCCACAATAAGTTTACACTCATCACATGTTACGTGACAAAACCGATAAGGGTTTCATCATCATGATCAAAGGCCTTCCCCTTAGAACACCAAAATACTTTTTACCGTTGCATCCACCGCTTGGATTCAGTTGAGGGGTTGCCACAAACTACGAAGTCTCACAGAAACAGTTTCTTAAGTATTTTATCCTCGTAATTACTGTTAATAGTAATCCATTAGATACAATTCTAACTCTATTTCCTCATCCGTTCTAATTCTTTTCATTCAATCGCCTTCACAGGTGGCAGCCGCCAACCTCGTCTCGGCGATGAGGCAGCAACTAGCCAGAGAGCCCGAGCCGGCTCCGAGCGAAGCGGCACTTCGCATGCAGCAGGCCGAAGCGCTTCTTCGAGGCCAAGCCGAGGCGTTGCGACTGGCCGTATCCCAGGCGGCCGCTCACGCCGAGGCACCGCAAAGGCACAACGGCGCCTTTCCCCAGGAGCAAATCGCGCCGGAGTTAGTGGAGGCGTTCAGATTGGCCCAAGAGCAGGCGATGCGCTTGCACGATCCGCGGATGCTCGGCTTCGTGCCGCAAGTCGCTCAGGCACAAGCTCAGGCTCAGGCCCAGGCTCAGGCTCAGGCCCAAGCTCAGGCTCAGGCCCAGGCTCAAGCTCAGCACATGCAGTCGTCGCTGCAAGCTGCCCAACAAGCGGCCCAACAGGCAGTCCACCTCCAACAAAACCCGCAGCCGTGAGGGTTCAGCTATTACTAATCCGACGCGGTTTCGTTACGAATTTTTGTTTTCTTTGCTCAGGTTGGATCCAGACGAAATTTCCAGAGAAACATTTCGTTGGCACTATGTATCGTTACCGTCTCTGTTTTCAGACTTTTCAAGACGGTGCGCCCAGACGAAATTGCTAGATAACCATTTAAATAGCACTACTGTTTTTAGACAGTTTAAGACGGATTCGTATTTCGCGTGTATCCAACCTTGAACGTTGCATTATTGTTGTCTTGGACGATAAATTTACACGTTTCGTATATAAAATTTAAAAAAAAAACATGTGAATGAGTATTTTCGGATGGACAACTTCCACTTTGTGTATTTCCAGTTTGCGTATTGTGAGTTTTACATATTGATTGTTGTTTTTTATCGTGCGGAACGAAACGAGATCGCCTCAGATTGGTGATTGTTGAGTACGTTCCACCCGCAACAGTTCGTAGTGTTCGAATTTTAAACGGAAAAAGGTTAAATTTGCTTAGGAAAAAAAAATAAAGAAAAAAGGTTTTATGTTTGTGCACCTCATCGTTTCCCTTTAGAGCCGTTCGGAGAGTATACAATGTTTCGACTTTAGAAGTATTTTAGATAGGAGCAACTGTTGTACATAGGAACGGGTAGCGGAGACGATTCATGTATATACATATACATATATATTTAAATTGATATAAAGAGGAAGTATCTTGGAGCGTAGTCGGACGATCAACTAGGAACAAGCGGCTCGCCCGAACAAAAAACAATTGGATAGAAGTGCGACCGACATGAGTGCAATCTTCTGTTTCGTTTATTATTGAATTATTATTATATTCGAGTTGTATTTTGTTTCGTAATAGCTTTACCACGTGGCGGTTCATAGCTTAGTACAAAAACTTTGGATGTGCCAAACTTGCACGTTATCCTTTCTCCCTAACCCCCGCAATAATTAGTTGCTAATGAGTTTGTCTATAGGCCTCTTTGTTGTTTATAGAACGGAGTTTTTTTTTATATTGTTTTACTTATAACTTCTCATGCAATAACACATCTTATGCTAGTCATATCTGAACGCACAAATATTCTATTTAGACGATGGGAGATGGATCAAAATTATTTTTTTTAATCTATGTTGAATGTTTTTTTTATTCGTTCCTGTTTAATCGCCTTCCCAGTTTATTTAATTTTATATAATTTTAACGTAAACGCCATATTAGTACTAAACGATGTACATAGCGTAGGCATATTATAATTGAAGCTTTCGTTTTTAAACATTTGTATAGGAAATATTTTATATTATTATTTTAATTTTAATTTTAAATTTATTTACTATAATATATACACAATTTTATTTTCTAAACGAGACAATTATTTACAAAGCGCGCCAGAGTCGTAATATATATATTGAAAAGTTTCTTTTTCTTGTCACTCACGGAAGACTGTCGTAAGCTTACTTTTGTGAATGACCGAACGGCTTTTACGTCCGTATGCGAACGTAAACACTCAGCTCGCAACATCCGATCGTGACGTCAGTCGACACCGGACACTACACGGTTCCGGACAGTGTACACGGAACAACAGACACCGGACATTCGAAATACAGAGTTTTAGCAGCCCGCAACGAAACTCACATCTCATCCCCCCTACAAACCGCAATAGCCCTAACGGCCGTCCCTACGGCCGCGATGGAACGCTACGTCCGATGTAAAGTTAACGTCGTGCGATGTTTAGTTAACGTCGAACTCGTCGCGGCGTTAACCGCGGACGCTTGCGTTCCCCACACGGCGCCCGCGCCGCCATCACGTTAGCTCAATAGTTCGACGCAATAGGAATGTCAAGTGTTGCCGAATAACGTTTCTATTAAATATTATCACCGTGTATCGTATATGGTTAAGTGCGGTGCACGCGCGCATCCGCTTCCGAGTGTATGGGCGCGCGCACCGGTCGTTATCGTGTAATCGTAACGTAAGTAAGGTAAGTAGTAAGCTGATTTTAACGTACGTAATTATTTCCACTCTTGAATTGATATTGGCGCCGTGGCCCGCCGCGGCGCCAACTTAATTGTAGCGATGAAAAAAAGAACAATGCAATAGCCCGATACATCTCTATGATTTCCGTTTCGTGTTTGATTTGTTCAACGGTTTATGATTTTGATCGAATTTTTTTCGTTCGAGCGTTAGTTTTTTTCCGTTTCACAACCACAAACTTCTCGGCGTATTTTACATTTTATTTGGTGTGCAAACGGCCAGTTGTACCGACGCGAATGGGTTACCCGATGATTGATCGATTCTTCTAGGAAACGTGAACGTTACATACAGATGTCGCACGAGAAACCGAACAGATTCGACTGACAACATACGATGAGTGCTAAAACAATTGTAGACGATGTGTTTTTTGTTTTCGACGCCCTACCAGAACGGGAGGGCGAACAGTCGAAGGATTGCTGTTTATGTAAAAAGTTGAAAATCACCTCGTAAATTTTAAATATTATATTAAACAAAAATTAATATAACAACAAAAGAAGTTCCTATGAATATTGTATAAATGGTATTGTTTTAACTTTAGGTCGTAGTAGAGGGAAAATTTTATGGACGTTTGGTATTTTTAATGTTATAATTAATGTAACATCGCGTTTAGGGGACGGTTTTCGAGTTGTACAAAAGTGTGAAGAGAAAGCACGGATCGTGTATCCTAACATTAGATATTTAGAGCGAAAGTTACGTTTCCATGGAAGTGTTCATGCCGCCACTTCTGCATACGTGACGCGGTGCGCGCGTAGTTTTAAAAAATGTATTTGTAAAAAAATTAAGGGAATAAAATAAATAAAATGTATTTTCGACTATATTTCGACGGGATTTTTTTCGATTTAACCCAAAAAAACAATAAGAAACAAACCGAAATTACTATATATAGGCAACCGGAATTTTGAATGTGCCGCGCACATATGCAGACGTCTTGTATTTTCTGTGATCATCGAAGAGGAATAGTTGATAAAGTGAAAAAAAAAATACTATCAGATCGTGTCTGAGCGTTGTCAGAGGTTTACTTTTAAGTTTTCGACGGTTAAATTTTTTAACGTTGAAGCGTTAACAAAAATATAAACGTTTCAAGAAATTGCAAAAGTTTTTTCTACATATTTTATTTTATGATACGAAAAGAAAATTTCTTAGATAAGCCGGTGTACATTTAATAATATTGTAAAGCCTAACTAACTTAATTGGCGATTGCAGCGTCGCTTACGGACGGGTCTCGGGAGAATCTGACTCCCGTGATATTGGGAACGTAAGATTTCTGACAGATCCGTATCTTAGTGTCGATAGTACTGGATTCTGTTGATGTCTAAAACAAAAGAGCGGATTTTAGAATATCCGCCGTCTTTTAACTATTAAATACGCCGCTTGCTGGTTTCGCTGAGGAATGGTTGTGACAATACAATGTTGTAGTTTGATTGGCAAGTTTAATATTTGTATTTCATAATCGAACATTGTTTTTCACTTGTTGATTTGTGACGATCGATGGTTATTTGCGAACGCACCTCTCGGCTTAAACTTTGGGACAATGCAATATGGTAATTTGTTAAAAATTTGGGAATGTTGGGAAATTATTGATTGCGGAAGAGGTGTTGTTGGTAGGTCCCACTCCCTGACTTAGTGGGCCGGCTTGATGAATCTATTTGGGAATTTACAACTATGCCTACTTTCTAGAAGAATCCGGTAATATTTACGAAACTTCACGACCGAACCCACCCATCTGCGGCGTCAGTTGTAAATTCCACAGTAGACAATGAAATCATTTTAAAAAAAGAAAAACTTGCGATTACATTACATTCTTTATTTCGAGTTGAATGACTTCTGGTTAACTTTCGCGAGTTGTTGGGTTAATTTGATGTGAAGACTATATCCGCGGTCCCACCATGACCTAACGGCGTCGCGGAAGTTGAACAGCAGTCGATTGTTAAGTTTTTAAAAATAACTTTGCTGTTGATTTGAATTAAGCATCCTAATTGACTGTTACAAGAACCGTTTACTTTTGAGGCTTCGTTGTTTCCGTTGTTTGTATTGGCTTGTTTTATGATATATTTAGTCAAATATACAAGTTTATTCGTAATTTTAAGAGTAGACAGGATAGCCAGGTTTTCAATTTATAACTCGCATAGTAGTCGTTACACGTATCTTTAATGTAAGTTAGCGTAATGTAATGTAATACGTGGCTCATTTATAAAATTAACCTCGCGCGAGCGAGAGTTGCTCGAAAACGAAAATGTATTTTTTATAAACGGGTCCGTAAAAACATAGACTAAGTACGCAATCGGTTGATACACGGCGATTGCTTAGTCTATGTTGCGTAAGTAGTGAACAACGAAATAATAAAAAAAAACATAAATACAAAAAAAAGCCATAACGTACTTAATGTCATAGGTAATACGATGTTTATGGGCGCTTCCAGTCCCGACCTGTCACAGCCATTTCGAGGTGTAAACGATTTTCGACGATTAAAAAAACAGCTAACCACAAGACAAATATTTTATATTGGGTGCGAAATTTCAGACTTAATTCTTCTCGGCATTTTAAATTCATATTTCGAACAAGTCCGATTCGACCTTCAAAATTCGGCTCGTGGCGTATTAAGTTTTTCGTCTATGTTATTGTATGCCTAGCCTCTTTAATGGCACATAGGCAATTTGCGTTGTTACGAATATTGTATGTACTTTTCATTTACGCAAAAAATTCCATGTACTAAATTAATAAGACCCTTTTGTATGCGATTGTATTTAACCATTTGTGAGTCGTTAGTAATTGTTTCGCGAGTTTCGCGATGTTGCTAAAATCTATTTCTTGTTTTCTTTCCCCCAATCGTTGCATTCTAGTCTTTGTGTAATTTAACCAGAGTCCTCTTGTAATTTTCTTTTTATTGTAAATCTATTATGTTCGATTGTGATAGTGTCGTGATTGGTCGTTTTGGAATTAGAAATGTATAAAAAAGAACACCTTGTACAAATTTGATTCACATGAACATGTAAATTGACGTTTAAACGTGAACGCAATATATTAATGTATAGAATTTCGTTTCAAAATTAATTAACTAAAATATTTCGGCGTATAAATTGTAAAATTCGTATTAGACACTAGATTAAAGAAAATTACGATTATGTAGAAGTCAAAATTCACGTTTGGCAAGTAAATATGTAAAACGATTTGAAAATAAAAATTAAACACACTGTATATACTTTTAGGATGTGACGTGATATTACTAATACGCAGGGAGCAGCTCAAGCTATATGGATCCTTCTAAAGTAGCTTATATTACGATGCAATAAGGTTAAAGACAGCTTGAGCTACGATCTGCACCTACCTAATCAATGTTAAGGTAAAATGTACCTTATTGTATGTACCCAAGTTTTGGAGTTAAATTAATAGAGCATAACAGCAACACGACAGGTCAAGGTCTTTCCTTGTTTTTAGTTAGAATATTTTGTATAGAGTTATTTACCCGATATAAGTTTAATTCATTTGACTATTAACGTTTAGATTTAAAACGATGCCATGTTTTATTTTACTAATTATTTCAGAGTTAGTTATACTGCAATGTGTTTATTGAAATATTATATTATATTTTTTATAAAAGTTATTTTTTTTGTACTTGATACGTAGTCAATCGTATGGACTGCTATGTAATTAGTAGTTAAGTTTTAGCGTTGAGTTATTTTAAGCAGGGACGTTCATTTTCTCTTATTTCGTCGACTTTGCTGTTTATCGAACAAAAAAAAAAAGATTAACCCATTAATTTCTAGAACGAGGATTTATTTTTTAACAACGGAAAATGCTTATTGTGTCATTAAAATGAGAATAGTAACTATTATTGCCGAAACGGTTAGCTATAATTATTTTAAAAAATAAAAAAGGATGATTTACAAATGTGTTTTTATTTAATTCCCGAATACGCAGAGACGACGGACATTATCCATGAAACACTACTGCTTGCAGAGTGCAATTGACACACGTTTTGGAAAAGTGGAATCTTCTCAATAATACCAGTACTTAGATTAATTTCTTCGTCTGTAAACATTTGTGGGTCTGGCCACCACACAGGATCTACAGCTACCTAGGTTGCCAGACGATATGCAAAATAGCAAAAGTATAAACCTGCGTGTATAGTAAGTATCGTATGTTTACTGTTAATGCTTGGTACATCCCCGGAAAGAGAACTTGGGCTTTAATAAATGCTAGTGCATGAGCTAAACGTTTAAACAGATGCTCAATGGCTCAAGCCTCAGTGAAATTATCGAGATAATAAACAGTTGTTTAAAGTTTACGCTGTGAGGATAGATGAGATAGTTTTTGCGATGAATTAAGTTTTTTTTTTTAAGTTTCATATATGCAAAGAAAACTGTATTTCATTGTTTATTTGTATATAAAGAAGGTATCCTATGGGTGTTGCAAATGTCATTCTCAAATAAAAAAGAATGTAAAGGAACCATGTTGTTAAAGTCGCGCTTAGAAGCTTGTGAAAACTCTCTGACAACAGTTCGAGTACGTGTGGAATGCATTTAAAAAAAGTTAAAGTGTATTGTGAGCAGATGGAGTATATTATTTTAACTTCTAGGAAAATGTCGAGAATTAGAAAGCTCATCAACATTTAAATTATTATAAGTATAATTATTTAAATCATTATAAAAATAATGCAAGAGAAATGAAAAAATATATCATTATGCATACCTGTTTGCCATGGTAATATTCTTCATACGGTAAACTTTTACGTTTCAACCGGGCGAAGGTTAGTATTTGAACACTTGTTTTTAAAAACA